GTGTGGTGTGTATGTATGTGGTATGTGTATATTTTATTATTTTTGATGCTATTGTAAGTGGCATTGTTTTCTTAATTTCATATTTGGATTGTTCATTGCAAGTGTATAGAAATACGACTGGTTTTGGGATATTGATCTTATATCCTGCAACTTCACTGAATTCATTTATTAACTCTAATAGTGTGTGTGTGTGAGTGTGTGTGTGTGTGTATGTATGTGGTATGTGTATATTTTATTATTTTTGATGCTATTGTAAGTGGCATTGTTTTCTTAATTTCATATTTGGATTGTTCATTGCAAGTGTATAGAAATACGACTGGTTTTGGGATATTGATCTTATATCCTGCAACTTCACTGAATTCATTTATTAACTCTAATAGTGTGTGTGTGTGAGTGTGTGTGTGTGTGTGTGTGTGTGTATTCTCTAGGGTTTTCTAGAAGATCATGTAAATTTCCTAATAGAGAGAGTTTTAACTTTCTTCTTTGAGTCTAGATTCTCTCTCTCTCCCCATCCCTACTTCTTTCTCTCCCTTTTTCCTTCTCCTTCTCTCTTTCTTACCTAATTACTCCGGCTACAATTTCCAATACAATCTTGAATAAAGTAGTGAGAGGAGACATCCATGTCTTGTTTCTGATATTACAGGAAAATATCTTCTTTCTGATATTTCAGCCTTCCACAATTAAGTATGTTAGTTTGGGGATTTTCATAGACACCCTCTATCAAGTTGATGAAGTCCCCTTCTATTTCTAGTTTGTTGAATGGTTTTATCATGAAAGGGTGTTGGATTTGGTCAAATGCTTTTTCTGCATCTATTGAAATGATCATGTGGAATTTTCTCCTTGATTCTTCTACTAAAATGGTGTATTACACTTACTGACTTTCACATACTGAACCAACTTTGTATTCCTGGGATAAATTCCTGTTAGCTATGTTGTCCAATCCTTCCTATGTGCTGGATTCTGTTTGCTAGTATTTTGTTGAGAATTTTTGCATCTATATTCATAAGAGATATTGGTCTGTAGCCTTTTTTCTTGTAATGTCTTTGTCTGACTTAGGCATCAAGGTAATAATGATCTCATAAAATGAGTTAGAAAGTGTTCTCTCCTCTCCTATTTTTTAAAGAGTTTGAAAGGACTGGTGTTAATTCTTCCTTAAATGGTTATTCAATTCACCAGTGAAGCCGTCTGGTCCTGAACTTTATTTGTTGGAAGGTGTTTGATTACCGATTTAATCTCTTTACTTGTTATAGGCCTGTTGAGATTTTCTATTTTGCCTTGAGTGACTTTAGGTTATTTGTGTGCTTCTAGGAATTTGTCCATTTATCTAGGTTATCTACTTTGTTGGCATACAATTGTTCACAGTATTCTCTTATAAATTCTTTTGTTTTCTGTTGGTCAGTAATAAAGTATCCACATTCACTTTAAATTTTAGTTAATTGCATCTTTTCTCTCTCTTTTGTTAGTCTAGCTAAAGGCTTGTCAGTTTTGCTGATCTTCTTAAAGAACTAATTCTAGTTTCATTGATTCTTTCTGTTATTTTTCTACTCTCTACATCTCTGCTCTAATCTTTATTATTTCCTTACTTCTGCTATCTTTGGGTTTAGTTTGCTCTTTTTTGTCTAGTTCCTGAAGGTAAAAAGTTAGGTTATTAATTCGAGATCTTTCTTCCTTTTTAATACAGGCATTTTCAGCTATAAATTCCCCTCTGAGCATTGCCTTCACTGCATCCTGTTAAGTTTTGGAATGCTGTGTTTTCATTTTCAATCATCTTTAAGTAATTTCTAATTTTCCTTGTGATTACTTCTTTGACCCATTGGTGGTTAAAGACTGTGTTGTTTAATTTCCACATATTTTTGAACATCCCAGTTTTCCTTCTGTTATTGATTTCTACCTCCATTCCTTTGTAGTTGGAGAAGATACTTTGTGTGATTTCAATCTTTTTACATTTACTGAGTCTTGTGATCTAACATAGGTCTACCCTGGAGAATTTGCCATGTGCACTTGAAAAGAATGTGCATTCTATTTTTGTTCAGTGGAAAGTTCTAAATATATCTGTTAGATCTAGTTGGTTATAGTGCTGTTCAAAACCTCAATATTCTTATTGATCTTCTGTCTATATGTTCTATCCATTATTGGAAGTGGGATATTGAGGTCTCTAGCTTTTATCATAGGACTTTCTACTTCTCCTTTTAAGTCTGTTGAAAAGTATTCTTAATGAAGATTCCTACTATCTTTAAATGGGTTGACATAGATTTCAAAATTAGTATGTATATATTTTTTGACCAAGAAATCCCACTTTTAGAAAATATCCTAAGGAAATCACAGTATATTAATAATCATAAAGAACACTTACTAAGCCTTTACCATGTGCCAGGCCCTGGTCAAAGAACTTTAAATGCATTAACTTAATTACTGGGTAGTTCTACTATTATCTCAAATTTATAAATGACAACAGAGATTATGAGTGTTTGACAAATAGATAAATACAGTAATTCAGAGTTTCCAATGCAGAAGTGCTTACTAAAGAAAAAAAATTAAAAGCAAACTGCTAGACAGAAAATAGTACTGATAGTTAGGAAACCTGGGTTTAAACTGTACTCTTATCACTTATGATGGAGTACAAAATCCTTAACTCCTCCGAGTCTCAATTTCCTCAAATGAAAACTTCCAGTTTGCGCTTTATAATTCATTCTTACTATCCAATGACAAAGCAGGCCCTGACTAGACTGAAAAGGATTTGAGCCAGTAATGTAATGACTTCTACATACTAATCCTGCTCTAGAGACACAGATGTATATAAAAAGACACATCTCTACTTTGTAAAGCTGACCAAGCCTGTGCATTCATAATGAACCAAAACAAACAAACCCCAAAACAAAAACAAGAAATAAAATCAAGAGTTCATATCTCTATAGCATAGAAACCTTACTTGCAACCAATGATATTCAATCATTAGAGAAAACTTACTTGCAACCAATGATATTCAATCATTAGAGAAGTTCAGACCAATCCTACTACATGATTCAATTAACACATTTATTAAACAAGCACTAAATATTAATAATATAGTAGTCTCCCCTTATCCATGGTTTCATTTTCCACGGTTTTGTTAACCCATAGTCAACCACTGGTCTAAAAATATTAAATGGAAAATTCCAGAAATAAATAATTCATAAGTTTTAAATTGCGTGCCATTCTGGGTAGTGCAATGAAATCTCACACCAGCTGATCCATCCCACCTGGGACTTGAACCATCTCTTTGTCCAGCATATCCAAGCTGCATACACCACTTGCCTGTTAGTAATTTAGCAGCTGTATTAGTTACCAGATCGGCTGCAGCAGCATCACAACGCTTGTGTTCAAATAACCCTTATTTTACTTAAGAATGGCCCCAAAGTGCAGGAATAGTGAGGCTGGCAATTTCTTCGAATACACCGAAGAAAAGTCATAAAATGATTCCTTTAAGTGAAAAGGTGAAAGTTCTCAACTTAATAAGAAAATAATCATATACTGAGGTTGCTAAAGTCTACTGTAAGAACAAATCTTCTATCCATGCAACTGTGAAGAAGGAAAAAGAAATTTGTGCTAGCTTTGCTATCACACCTCCAATTACAAAAGTTACAGCCATAGTGGGTGTTAAGTGCTTATTTAAGATAGAAAAGGCATTAGTGAGTTGAAGACATGAATGGAAACGTGTCCCAACTGACAGCAATTGCATTCAGTGCTATCTGCAGCTTCAGGCATCCACTGGGGGTCTTGGAATGTATCCCCCTCGGATAAGGGGAGGACTACTGTATACCTGGCTGTAATGAACTGAATTATGTCCCCCTCAAAACTCAATGAAGCTTAAATTGTACCCCCCCCAAGTTTTATGTATTAGAAACACTGTGACTTCTGAAGGTGGGAAATCCTATTATGGTAATTGAAAGGTGGAACCTTGAAGAGGTGATTAGATTTCAAGACCATGCAGTAGTGAATGGATTAAAAATGGTGGTCAGGAGCATGGTTCTGAGGGCTTTAAAAAAAGAGGAGAGTCTGTCTCTCTACTCCTGCCATCTTGCAATGTGAGACCCCTTGGTCACTGTTACCACCACCAGATGGACTTTGGATTTCCCAGCTTCAGAAGCCACAAACAATACATTTTGCTTTCTTTATAAACCACCCAGTTTCAAATATTTTATTACAAGCAACAGAAATGGACCAATACACCATCCATGTTTTCAATAAGCTAGGTCACAGCTTAGGTGAGGTGACAGATTTGCGAATAAATGATTACAATAAGTAATAATAAAGTAATAGTGATAATAATTACTATGCTACATATATTAACAGAATTCTAAAACAGTGCAAAAAGGGTACCCAGGCTTCCTAGGATGACATTTATGTTGATTCTCATATTTTGGGGGTGAATAAGACACTAGACTAGGCATGACTGTACAAGGAGTAAGTGCGACAGGGGCTGACAGGCAAAGCAGAGGAAACAAGATGGGCAAAGTTTAGAGTCAAGAAAAGGCAGACGCTACATTCAGACTATTATTTAGTGTTGTGGAAATATGAAGGCAATTTAATCCTAATTCACTCACCTTGACATACATAACATTATTATATTAATAGTTACTGCACACTTATGTCAACTTACAAATGCATGTGTATACTCCTGACATGAAATAGGGCTTTATAGATGAGAACAGGAAGATAATAAAGACATTAACTTTAGTCCAGTGTCACAAAGCTAGTAATTTATGAAGCTAGAAGTTAAAACTAGGTAGTCTGATTCCAGAGACGGCCCGAGTATTTCCCATGCAAAGCAACTTATGCTGCAATGTGCTAGCCCATGCCCGTTATTCATCTCATCCCGACCAACACAGTGTTGGCAAGGCTACCTCCTGAGCCTTTACTGAGTCATTCACAAGATAGATATAGGGTCTGGATATCCAACCATGACTCCCATGCAGAGATCAGTACATCTTGTCCAGTCAGTCCTTCATAACTATCCTAACTCCTTCCTGGTAGATTCCTACTCCCCACTAAATGTGGTCCTCCCTTTTCTTCAGAATGATTAGGAAATCTGTATCAGCTTCCTACTAATAAGAATGAGAATTAGGAATAGTAGGTTTTCCCCATACAGGCTATCTGCCAAAAAAAAAAAATAAAGAAAGAATAGTAGGTTTGCAGAACAGCCAGTTTTCATTCTACACTGGAGAGGATTTAAACTAACGTTCCCATCAAGCCTGAAGAGAAGAAAATTAATTAAGCTTCCTAAGTGTGAAATCAAAACATACCTTCAGTCCCTCCAATTCATTTTCTAGTTGCTTAGAATAGTGTTCGCTCTGTTCACGCAGTTTCCTGTCCTTAGATGCTTCAGCAGCTAGAGCTTCTGTATGAACTTCCAGCTTTAAAACAAAAAAGCAGATCCGTGGTTATAATTTTTTTCAAAGAAAACATTTTCCCCATGTGAATTTACCTTATAATAGGAGGATAAATCAAATGTTGAAATTCATATTAAATAATATTAACAAACTATAAAAATAACTTTTTTTCGAGAATTAAAGAATGAAATACATATTGTTTCACTAGTCTCAAAAAGCAGCTTTAGTCACTACCCCACGGGCACTACAAAATTTGCCTGACTACTAACCTCTTTTCTGGCTCTTTCTGTTCTGCGCAGCTCTTGCCTTAAGCTTTCAACTTTTTGCATCACCAGGTCCGCCTCTTCTTCCTTATCTCGGACATGGCGAGCAAGTTTCTGTTTTTGGGTGTGCAATTCTGTTAGCCGCTCATTGATCTCCATGAACTCCTGCATGGCCAGTTTCCTCTGACAGTGTGCGTCTTTCAGCTCTTTGGATTGGTTTTTTAATCGCTCACTAGCCTGGACTAGTTCCTACAGTTTTGTAAAAAGAATATAAGTTACCAATCTGCAACCTAGAGACCAACTTTGGCCATCAAAGTTGCTATCATTAAGTCAAGAAGAGCCAAAATTATTTACTTCAGGACAAAATTAAAGGAAATAAACTACTTTTGAACAGATATTAAGGGCATGGTGCCCTATTTATGTTCTCGATTCCTCTTGCTAACATGTTAAATGTAAGGGAACAGCTGATTTACACTTCTAGTACTTTAATTCCCAACAAATGAGTAAAAAATACAGGAATGTAAGATATGACAGTTAAAAGAAAGATTTTGTTAAACTTAAAAATATTTGTAAAATATTTTTTTATAACACTGAATGATTACAAATGATAAAAAACAAGCATTGACCTTGATGTAGAGACTAAAAAGCCTTAGGCCAGAAACAAGGAGAAATACTAAACCTGAGACTCCTGATAAAAGGGAGGAACTTAGAGGGGGCTAAAGAGGACTCAGGTCAATACAACCACCTGCCTCTCACCAAAAGGAAATGGAAATCTTCTTTGGGGGAAAGAACTTCCAAGAAATCTGGTTTTGTCACACATTAAGAGCACACATATGAGCTCACAACCACAGATTCCCAAATGCCCAAAGAACAAACCACCATAATCAAAGAACAGAAACAATAAATAATAAACACCAAAGGTATTTGGGTATAAGAACAATCAGATGTTGACATAAAATTGTTGTGTATGAAACAAAAGAGGAAATCATAAAAACAGGAAAATAACAAAAGACTATTAAAAACAACCAAGTAGATTTATGGAAGAACTTTACAGAATATTTAGAAATGAGAAAAATGTGTTAAAATTAAAGACATGGATCCACCAGTACAGGAAGCTCTACATTTACAAAGCAAGAAAGATAAAGAGAAACACAAACACAGAAATGTTAGAAAAATGAAACTGAATAACACAAAAGATAAATAAAAGACCTTTAAAGAAATCAGAGAACCAAAAGACAAATCACATATTCCCTATCCTTAAAAAAAAAAAAAAAAAGGAAAAATAGAAGATAATTAGACTTAGAACAGATCAAAGAAGTAACAATAGAAATAGAAACAGGGGAAAATATTTTCAGAGATGAGAAAATAATTAAAATTATATATGCAGAAAAATTTCAAGTATGAGGCTTTATATAAACAAAAATTGACAGAGTTTACCAGATACGTACTAAGGAAACCTGTAGAGCTTTATCTCCAGAAAAAGAAAAACTATTTTAGAGAAATGGAGGGCTAAGAAATCAGTAAATGCAAATGTGAATGTAAACAAACACGTATATAAGATACTATAAAAATGTCTAATTTGTACAGTAAACAAAGGACATAACTACAATATTGGTCAATAACAGCAAAGAAGTTGGGAAGAGGCACTTCAATTGTTAGGGAGAAGTATTTTAAGAAACAAAATTTAGAGTTTGTTAATATACATGGTGAAATTCAAGGAGAACAAGAAAACAAACAAAAACCTCAATTGAAAAGTAAGAAGAGGAGCTGGCTGGTTAGCTCAGTTGGTTAGAGTGTGGTGCTGATAATACAGAGGTCCAGCATTTGAACCCTGCACCAGCCAGCTGCAAAAAAGTATGAAAGGATTTTACAAACCGAAAAGAATTCTGGAGATTGGTTGCAGCACAACAATGTGTATGTACTTAAATTAACCCTACTGAACCAGGTATTCAAAAATGGTTCAGATGGCAAATTTTATGTTACGTGTATTTTACCACAATTTAAAATGTTTTAAAATGGAAGAAAGGAGAGACAAAAAGAAGCACAGAAAAAGTATGACAAACACAAAGCAAAAAGTAAAGTGGTAGAAACATGTCCACATACGTTAGCAATCAAAATAAATATAAAAGGGCTAAGCTCACCAGTTAAAGGCAGTTTGTTAGACCGGATTAAGAAACAAAATCTAGTCTTTAGTAGAAAAAGCATTATTCTACTAAGGGATAGGGAATGTCACTACACGATGATAAAATTCAATATGCTAAGAAAGAGCTACCATTCTAAACTTCTGTGCATTTTATAAGATTGTCTCAAAATACATTAAAAAGGAATTGCTAGCACCTCCGAGAAAAATTGGTAAATATGTCACCATAATGAGAATTTTGATTTCTTAATTATTAACAGATAAACCACGCAAAATAGTGAATATAAAGAAAAATTGAAAAGCTTAATCAACAAGCTTCATGCATAGAAGGTTACACCCTATATCAGGAACATACACTCTTTTCAAGAAAACACATTGAACATTTTTTTTTTCCTTTTTGTCTTTTTTTGTGTCCGGCAACAGATCGCAACCCTCAGTGTCGCGCCCGTACTGGACCGGGACCGGCAATGGGATCGCAACCCTCGGTGTTGCGCCCGCACCTCGCTCAGCCAGTGAGCGGGAACCGGTCTGTATGTGGGATCCGAACCCTCGGCGGGAGCGCCACCGCGCCCCCAAGCGGCGCACTGTAGCAGTGCGCCACCGGGCTGGCCCCACATTGAACATTTTAAAAATGGAACAGTCTAGGCTATAATGCAAGTCTCAGTAGATTTCAAAGAGCAGATATATAGATCAAGTTCTTTAATAACACTGCAATTAAATTAGAAATCAATAATAAAAGATAAAACTCTACGCATTGAAATTTTAAAAACATACTTATAAATAACTCATTGGTCAATGAGAAAAATCCTAAAGGATATTAAAATATTTAAAACTAAAAAAAATGAAAAATACAAGGGGAAAAAAAAGTTAGTATATATTAAAATTTGGGGATACAGTAAAAGCTATACTTAGGGGGGAATTTACAGCCTGAATTATTTGCACTTAGAGGAAAAAAAGGTTAAAAATTCACTGAGGTTCTACTTAAGAACTTAGAAAGAGACCAGCAAAATAACGCTCCCTTCCCGTATAAGGAAGAGGTTAACGAAGATAAGCTCCTAAATCAAGGAAATAGAAATGAGGCAATAATGAGTGTCGACAAAGCCAAAAGTTGGTTCTTTGAGAAAAATAATAAAATAGATATCTGGTGAGATCAATCAAGGGAACAAGCATAAAGGCACAAAGGAATAATAATAGGAAAGAAATAGAAGCTATAACTAAAAATCTAGAACAGATCAAAAAAGAAAATATGATGAACTCTGTGCCAATAAATTTGTTAATTTATGAAATGAACAAATTCTCAGAAAAATAAAATTTATCAAAACTGTTTTAAGAGAAATGATGCCTAAAAAAAGCCCTATTAAATTAAAGTAACTGAACCAATAGTTAACAAAATTTCCCCATCCTCCCAGTGGTGAGGGAGAACCTCTAGACCCAGATGGTTTTACAGGTGATTCTTCCATTGTTTGAAGGAACAGAGCATTTCTCTCACACAACCTTATCAACAGAACAGAAACAGAGACAATGCTACCCAAGACCAGAAAGGTAAGAGAAAAAAATTACAAGCCAGTCTCATTCATGAAAACAAAGGTAAAGATCCTAAAGAAATTAGCAAATCAGTTCTAGTAATATATAAAGTGGATATGCATGAAGTCAGGAGCTAGACTCCTTGTGACAACATTTTAGCTCCACCACTTTCTATCTCTATGACCTTGAGCAAGTGTACTTAACTTCTCAATGCTCAGTCTCACCATTTGTAAAATGAGAATAATGATAATAATAATGGTAATACCTAACTCTTGGGACTACGATGATTATTAAATAATCTAAGATATGTAAAGCACATAGAACGGTGCTATTAGAACTGATATTGAGGCAGGAAGCTAGAGAGAGAAAAGAGGGAAAAGGAAAAGCTGGTATTTGCAAATGGAACAAACCGGTTCCCTAAACAGGCACACACATGCACAGAAGCGACCACAGGAGACAAAGACAACTCCAGACAGGGAGCCCCCCACCACTGTGGGCGCCATTCAGTTAGACCAATGAGTTTCCACCAGCTAAGGTGCCAATCTCTTTAACCAGTACGACAGAGATTACGTTCAGGGCTCAACCAATGACCAAATGGCAAAAATCCAGCTCAGAGGACTTAAAAGGCCAGGAATGTAACCGTCGGGGCTCCTGAGCACTCTCCTCTCTCGCTGGAGTCCACTCTATTTTCTCTGGAGTGCACTCGTCTCTCCTCCTTTGCTAAATAAAACTGCCTTTCCTTTTCATTTCTGGCGTGTCTCGTCCAATTCTTTGTTCGAAACACCAAGAACCCAGATCCAGCCAGCAGGACTTACAATTTTCCCATATCTGCTACATCAATGTTACCTATACTATGATGTTATTATTTAGAAGATAATATATGAGCAATTTATGCTTAACCCAGAAATGTAGCACTGGTTTAATATTAGAAAAAGTCTATAAATGTAATGCACTACACCAGCTTATTAATTTATTCAATTATGTTTCAATGAAAAAAAATTTTTGTTTTTAATCAAAATAGAGTCACCCCTGCTAAGTTCCATGTCACTTAGGTTGTGGTCTGAACTTCCTAGAAGTCTGGGAAATTAATTTCCCAAACAGGCCAGTTTTAATTTTCAGTAGGTATGATAAAGTTCCCTCTCCTTTAACTCTTACCACAAAAGAGACAGCATGAAGTAACCTGATGTTAACTAGTCAGTGATTTTTTTCTATTATTTTGTCTTCCTGTCCCCAACCTTACAAGGAAGTAACTATGAAATGACCAATCTGCTTTTTGTTCTTCATTTCTACCCTCTTCATCCTTCTCAACACTTATTCTATTTTATGGAATAATATATTGCCCCATTCTAGAATCTCAATAAAGCCAACTGAGATCTTTAAAATTGTTGCAATTTTATTCTTTCATAGTTCCAATAGCAATTCTTAATAAAAAATGATTAGCAAAATAAGTGCAGAAGGTAACCTCCTTAGCCTGATAGAAAGTATTTACTAAAAACTTACAGCAAAGATTATTAGTGGTGAAATATCAGAGGTATATTCTTTAAAATCAGGAGAAAGACGGTGATGCCTGCTATCACCAC